CGCCTCTCTGTGCCCTGCTTTCCTCCTCTGCAACATGGGAATAGATAGTAGACCATACTGTGCAACCATCATGGTACCCTGAAAGAGCCGTTCATCATCCCAAACTGAAACTCTGCACCCATTAAACCATAACCACGGCGCCCTTGTCTCAGCATCAATAAACACTGTTCTACTTTCTCTTTCTCTAGGAAGCTAACTCCCCTAGGTGCATCATATAAGTTTTCCAGAATAATCTTGACTACTAAAATTCTTAGCCATTTTCCCCACAAATCTATGAGTGGAGGTTGGAAAAAATGCTCCCTCTGCAATGATGGCATAGAGGGAAATGGCCCAAAGGTCAACATTAAGAGTCCATGGAATTAGTTGCAGTGGGCTTGGCCGAGAAGGACTTAGACCTCTACGGAGTGGGGTGCCCGTCACTCTCCGACCACTGCCCTCACACCCACGTACAGAATTCTGCACTGAGGAACTTTACTGTGATGAAACAAATAAGCAGCAAACCCGACTGTTTCTGGTAGGGTGGCAGACTGGAAACCTGGAGAGGACCTTAGAGCCCAAGGTCAATATCCTGGTCTGTGAAGTCACAGGGTTTAGAGAAGATAGAAATGTGACTTTTGGAATGGAACTATCTGGGTTGGAATTTTAACTCTGTGAATCACTAGCTGTGTGACCTTTGGCAAGATACTCGACCCTCTGGGCCTTAACTGCTCCATAGAAATTGGGAATCTTAAACCGGGCGTGGTAATGCACACCCGTAATCCCAGCATTTAGGAGACTGAGGCGGGAGGATCTCTGTGAGTTGAAGACCAGCCTGGGCTACATAGTGAGTTCCAGGTCAGTCTCAACTACATAGTGAGACCCTGTCTCAAAAAACCGAAAAAACAAAAAATAGAAATTGTGAATCTTAATAATGCTTACTTCATATGTTATTAAGAGGATTTAAATGAAACAGTAAATGAATGAATGTATGTAAGGAACCTAGAACAGAGCTGGCACCCAGTATAGTAAATGCAATACAGGAATCGCCTCAGTTCACGAATGCTTCTGCTTGGCAAAAATTTTGCTTCCATTTGCAAACTTCACATCGGGTGACAAACACAACCACAGCCATCAAAGGAAGCCACACAAGCACAAATGCAGCCATCTTTACCCAAATTATAAAACAAATTAAGTCCATAAACTAAGATGCCACTGTACGTTTGTTAAAAAGGAATGACTCGGTGATCCACAAAGGAAAGACCAGGTCCCTGTACTCACTACAAGCAGAAAAGCTCTGCTTTGTTTTATATGTTAGCCTTCCTTTAAAAATGCCATTAAGCATACTCCTGTAATCCCAGCACTTGGGAGGCTGAGGCAGGAAGATCGCTGTGAGTTCGAGACCAGCCTGGGCCACCCAGTGAGTTCCAGGTCGGTCTCAACTACATAGTGAGACCTTGTCTCAAATAACCAAAAATAAATAAATAAATAAATAAATAAATAATAAATAAAAATGCCATTAAAAGGACAGTGGGTGCCCACGCCTGTTATAATATAATCCTGTATCTTACAAACGGGAAACAGTACCAGAACAGCTCTCTGTTGTGCCCAAGGTCCCATGGATAACGACTGTTGGGTAGACCAGGTGTCTGATCCAGCCAATGCTGTCTCACCTACATAGTATGGTCCACTGGGTCTGTGAACAGCTGGGCTTCACGCCATAGTATAGAAAAGACCCCTCTGCTCTCTCCTGGAAAAGGTCACTGAAGATGTCCCATGGAGGAGTTGCGTGCTTTCTTGCCCCACGATTACTGGAGAAAACGTTGAGCAGGCTTGACAGCATTCCTGGGTGCTAGTACGTTCCCACAGGAGGATGACTGTGCACCAGGCTCCCTAAAGACACCTGTCCAGCACAGAGTAAAGGTCGTAACCCTTGGAGAGTGGATGCCATCTCCAGGGTGCTGATGAACACAATCAGTAGCTGTTATCCCACCCTTCTGCCCATTTGCAGTTTAAGTATGGCTGGTCTAGGCCAGTGCACGTCAGCGAAACACTAGAAGAGGTTCTCGGTCCTATGGAGCCAGGAACACATTGTTCTGGTTTCTAAAAGATGTCTTGTTACAGCCCAAGAACTAGATAATGTGTGAAATACAGAAAATGGAAACTTCAGAGCCCTGATCGCCCAACCCACGGCCTTGTGTGTCCAGTATGGTGGCCACTGCCCAGTGAGCTCCCAATCAATCACTCAAAATGTGGTGAGATCAGACTGAAATATGCTTTAGGTATGGAAATGGACACCAGATTGTGAAGACGTAGGGTGAAAAAAAGCCGTGTTTCTGTCAATGATGGATATGTGACACATGTATGAGGTATGACTGAAATATACAATGAATGTTTAAATTTTTAAAATGTATTACAGTAAAAAGACACATTGCCATTAATTCCTCTCAACATGCTCCCCTGTAGTTTGAACACACTTTTCCTGCCGTTCTCTCCACTGTCTACAGCAGCTCTGGAAGCCCTCCTCCAGGTCTTTATACCAGGTGTGATGAAAAATAAAGTGAATGCCGCTGCTGAGTGTCATCTAATGTAAAAGCAGGCTTGTAAAGACACCGTGGTGTGTCCTCATCCACTAGATTTGGTCTGTGCCGCTTCTGTCTCTTTCCCAAAGTCAAAAGGACCACGGAACGTGAACGTTTTGAATCAGTTCAGGACACCACCACGGCAGCTATGCAATGCATGGTGCTCATGAAAGAGGACGCCCAGAGCTGCTTCAGAGGGGGTAGGAACGATGGGATGAGTGGGTCTGAAGCCAGGGGGAGGACTGGGGGGGTCGGTGAGAATGTGTCTTTTTAAAAATAATGTTAATTTAAACATTCACTGTATAGTTTGGTCGCGCCTGGTATAACCCATTGTTGTAGTCATTGTTGTAGCAGGATTTGGCAAGGAAATCTATTAAATAGAGGAGACATAATTTCTAAGACCATATTTTATGGTAATTACCCAAAAAGTCAAACACAAAGGTATGCAAGAGATTAACCGCACGCTAGAGGGCCTGGATCCCAGCAGTTTCCCACGCAAGTCCAGCTAAAGGCGTAGAGTCCAAGGCAGCGTCCTCCTCGAGTCCAGCCGGTGGCCCGGAGCCCTCGGCGATGTCTCCTGCTTGTCCGTATTGAGGGTCCGCACCTGGGAGGCCCAAAGGCCAGTGGTGGAAGCCGGAAAACCTACGCCGGTGAGATGCAGGATTTGTGTCACCAAGCTGAGGGATCCATATTGGAGCCAGGAAGTGATGCTCATGGTGAAGATCAGAGCTTCCTTGATGAAAACAGCAGCCATTCCCAGCAACAGGGAGGCCCCCGAGCTCTTCCTCTGAGGAGAACAGCCTTGTTTGCATCTGGAAAACACCCACAGCAAGCTTCTCCTAGGAAATCAACAGGACAAGATCTCCTCCTCCAGTTCTCTTTTTATGGTTAGTGGTAACAATCTCCAGGTGGATCCTCCACGTCCAGACCACGCTGATTCAGTTCAGCTGGGCGCTACAAGTTGCCCATTAGTCAGTCCACTACACCCATACATGACAGTCGTCCTGTAAGATTATAATGGATTGCCTGTAATCCCAGCATTCAGGAGGCTGAGGCAGAAGGATCATCGTGAGTTCAGGGACAGCCTGAATGACAGTGAGAGCCTAACTCAAACAACAAAAAAGAAAAACAGATATTAAGGGAGTTGGAAATTCTCATCTCCTGGTGACATCACAACACACCACTCCTGTGTTTGTGGTGACGTTGCATTATACTGCCAGTCGTACAAAAGCAGAGCACACACCATTATGGACGGTAGCAAGCCTTGTCTGCCCTGGTCAAGGAGGGAAGGGCTGCTGGGCAGGGATTGGAGTGTTCTCAGGAACTGGCAGAAGCAGGTGCTGTTCTGTAGTGATGGATCAGGGAGGGACTCCTGAGTCTTACTTTTCCTACTTATAAAATGGCCTATTACCAGTGGTGAAACTATGTGCTGAAAGCCAACTTCCTCGTGACACAATCAAGTTCTGCTTTCTGACTCAAGCAGAACTTGCGTCTTCTCAGTCACAAGGCGGTGCTGGAATCCAGAGCCCACGCTTTGCCTCTTTCTCCATTTGGCGTCAAGTTTCCATGGGGTAGGAGTTCGTCAGGGGAGCATCTCAGCTGCCCTTGGTCCCCTGCCCCGTTTCCCATGGGAGGAGAGACAACCATTTGACAGGTTGGGGAGAAGGAACCAGCCACGCTCAGCTTAGTGCCTATTGTGGCTCGTGTGTGGTTTGTCCTTGTCAAAACCCTTGTTGAAAAAAAAAAAAACACTTCTTTTTGGTGGTATGGGGAATTAAATTCATGGTCTGTGCAGTAAGCTACATTCCCAGCAACCCCTGCTCCTTTTGGTACGAGGGATTGAACTGGGGACCTTCTGCTTGCAAGGCAGGTGGCAGAACCACTGAGCTAAATTCCCAGCTCCCTTTTCGATTTTTTATTATAAGGCAGGGCCTCACTAAGTCACTAAATTGACCAGGCTGGGCTCAAACTTACGATCCTTCTGCCTCATTCTCCCAGAGTGCTGAGATTATAGTCTGCGCCATCCTACTTATTTTCTGTTGAAATTTAGTTGGCAATGTAGTGGTATTGAGAAGAGGAGGGGTCTTTAAGAGAGGTCTGGGGGTAGGGGCTCTACCTTCCAGAAGTGATTCATGTAGTTCTGAGGAGGGTAGGTTAGTTACTGTGAGGGTAGGCTGTGATAAAGCATCTGCCCACTTTGTCCCTTCTGCTCTTTCACTTTCTTCCATAAACTGTGCCACCACAAGGCCCTCACCAAAGCTTAGCAGAAGCTGGAACTATGCTGTTGGACTTCTAGAATCGTGAGCCTAAATAAACCCTCTTTCTTTATAAATTTCAAAGTCTTGGGTATTCTGTTATAGCAACAGAACATGGACCAAGACAGCGCCTTCCTTCCTTCTTTTACTCCTTTTTTTTTTTTTTTTCTTTTTTTGGTACCAGGGATTGAACTTGGGACGTTGTGCTTGTGAAGCAGGCAGTGGTACCACTGAGCTAAATCCCCAGCCCGCTCCTTCCTTCTTTTAGGCAACACACTTTTTCTTCCTCACCTCCATTTCTTCAGTTGGATGGCAGTCTTGTCTCCTGACTTATGGGCTGTTTCCGATTGGGTGGGTAAGCCTGCCATACTCTAGGATGAGAAATTACAAGCGCCTCTGACACTCAAAGCCCACTTCTTCATAATCAACTTTATTGGAAATAAAATGTTTTCGGCTCCACCTACTTGAGTGTACACCTCATTTTGAGTTCCATCAGGAAGCAGGGTGAGCCGTCTATTAGGCTTTCCCTAAACCCCAACAGTCTCAGTCGAGATACATCTGAGATGCTTGTAATCAAGTCAGAGAACTGGACCTCCCAACAAACAGAAATAACACATAATTCATTTTAAGTCTAACAACACACAGAGACAACACATAATTCATATTATAAGTCTACCGATGAAGTGATGGGATTTTAAAAGAAGTTGTGTTCTTGCAATCTGTAGCTAAAATATTTACATGGGGCCCTAGCGATACACAAGCAGAGGTTTACAGAGCACAGCCTGTTCAAACCAAACAGTGACTGTGTTTCTGACTTTGGAAACTCGTCAAGGAATCAGTGTTTACTTAGATAACTTGGGCCCCAAGTGGCTCTTGTGCAGGCTGGATCTAATCCAAGGAGAAGCCATGACTTGGGAACATTCTTCCTTCTCCCAGAACCATTGAAACACAGACCTCCCAGTTCTCCAGGGCCTCTGGAGGGAATCCGGTCCAGCCGCTGGTCATTTGTCCAATGCTCAGCCCAGACTGTGTAGACCCAGTCCTATTTTAGAATTGGCCCCTTGGCACTCCACCTGGTGAGTAACCCTGTGTTTGAAAGTCTCATTCATTTAACGCCCAAAGAGAGACTGCAGGCTCCAGGGGGAAGTGCTGGGTGTTTAATACATGCATGACTTGAATTAGACTGGAGCATTATGCAGGAGGTAAGCCAGCTGTGGGAAACAGGCCACAGAGAACCTAGAAGGCCAAGTGTGAGTGTCCAGGGAACCACAGCTGCTATTTCTACCCAAAGCAAGAATCAGGTCCAACATTCTTGAACAACAGTGAAGATGCAAGCGCAGATATCTATAATAATGCACATAAAAGGCACAGGCCATGATATACAGGTTTTCAGGAAAAGCTAGTATTAATTGTAATCCCTGATCTCTTTCAGCTAATTTGGAAAATGAGTAAGATCAGCATGTGAGTAACCTTAATAAAAACAGTCACTTCCACTACCTGATCTTTCCTCCTATTTGTAAAATACATTTTCTTAAAAAAACAAACAAACATTTTTTTGGGCTTATGTGGTTCTATTGGGACTGTCAGTGACTGTTCCTACTAGTACAGTGATGGACAGTTACCTAAGTCTGGCCAAATATGGCAGCCAATTGCTCCATGCAACATGCCTGGTCCCAGAGGTAGACCTGTTACTCAAGCAGAGTCAATTGGAATCCTCTGAGACTTGGAATCTCCCAGAAGGCTTGTCAATGCCACAGAAAGAGCATGAGCTTTGGTGCCTGAAGGTGTGGGTGGGTTCCATTTCTTCTTTGAAATTCAATGTCTTCACCTTGGCATAGAATGCAGGAAAATATACACTGCAGAACTGTGAGAATTAAATGAGATAAAAATATAAGCAAGGGCTTGGCACATAGGAAATCTCACTAAGTGGCTCAACAAAATTCATAATAAAAGGCAGTGTTCTAATGAAACTTCCTCCTCCTTCCATTCTGCCTGATCAATCTTCATTCTGCAAAGCACTTTGTAAATAACTGCGATTAGGCCTGGGGATGCAGCTCAGTGGTAGGTGAGTAGAGCGCTTGCTTAGGGTGCATGAAGCTTGGTCTCAATGCCCAGCAGTGAAGAGGGGGGAAAAGCTATAATGGAAAAACCTACCCACTTTTTTAGCAGGGAGGGGCCATCCTTAATTCTCCCTGACCTAGGAACTTCCTAGAATTGAGATAGGGTAGACAGATAGGATATATCTAGAGTTGAGTACAATCTCAGGATGGAAAAGCCATTGTGTGCTCAATCCACTGATGCCAAGTGGTTGGGAAATCTTTTGTCTAGCTAAAGTTCTAGATATCGTATTGTCTTCAGTCTAGAAGTTAGGTCAGTGCAGCCTGAAAGAGCTTGCTGCTATGATAGAAATACTTCTACCGGTGCCGTCCATGATGACAGCTGCTAGGATAATGTGGCTATCGCGTGCATGGGGTATGACCAATGAGAATAATGGAGGAACTGAATTGTCTACTTATCTACATTTATTTATTTGCAGGTCCACAGAGGGCAGTGGCTGCCATGGTGGACAGAGCAGCTCTGGTTGGAAGCGTGGAATCAGCAGACAGACACGGAAGTGGGCGAGAGTAATTCCCACCGCTTGCTTAAGCAGAAAGGACTATGATTTGGAAGCAGATGGGTCTCTAGGGTTGGAGCAGGTGCTCAAGGAAATTCATCTAACTAGTGAGCAATTTAAAAACCATGCCTGCTGGTTTGTGTACTCTATGTGCAAAGCTACAGGAGTTCTGAGAAGATTGTCTTTAAAAACCTTTTAATCTGTAAATTGCAAAAGTAATTTAACTGCATTGCAAAAAGTTTAATAACCAGAGGAGGAAAAACCCCTCCAAATCCCACCACACAGTCATCATCACATTTGTATACTACCTTTTGTGTTTTACACAGGCATGTTTATACTTCATGTGCATACTTATAAATTGTAATCTCAGTTTAGCGGTATGTTCTATAACCTACATTTTTCTTTCATCGTATTTATCATACTCTTTATATTATTTTCCATAATTGTAAAGTAGTGTGACTACACTCATTATAATACATATAATCATCTTGTTTTTGTCTTTTGCTTGGTGCTGAGATAGACCCCAGAACCTTGAGCATGCTAAACACACGATCTACCACTGAGCTAGCCCTGCAGGTCCCTATCCTTGTTTGTAGGCTGTTTCCATTTTTCTTCAGAGTTATGCTGAGATGGGTATCCTACACGTATTTTTCTGTGGCAGAAGATCCATACGCTAGCTTGTTTGCTTTTCTCTTTTTCTTTTCTCCTTTCTTCCTCCTGCTTCCTCGTCCTCCTTCTAGTTCTTCCTTTTCCTCTTCCTCCTCCTCCCTGCTACCCCACACATCATTCTCTTCCCTCTCCTCATCCTGCTGTGGTGCCAGGGACAGAACCCAGGGCCTTGTGCATGTTAAAAGAAGTGCTCTAGATCAGAGCACTAGCTCTGAAGGCAGACAGACCTGAGTTTAAATGTCAGGCCTTCACCACTTAGGAATTACTTATGTGACTTACCCCAAGATCTTTCATGTCCCGAGCCTAGACTTTTCCATTGATAAAATGGGAATGATAACATCTGCCTTTCCAGGTTGTTGCCAGGATTGGACATTGTAAATTGCCTCTTATACTGCCTTTACCAGGGAGAAACTTAAAACTACAACTAACTCCATTATGGTTTTGAATATATATTTTTTAAGAAATTTAATTATTGGTAGTCTTGATTGCTCTGGAGACTTCTCAATTCTGAGAAATTTTTTGATTTATGTTAATGAGCTTATGGTTCAGCCCATCTGGTTGGATCAGAATCCCTGGGAAACTGAACACTGGCAGGCTGAGGTCCCTGTGGCATCACAGAAGTGGAGTCTGTGGGGAAACTTGAGGTGGGGGGGGCTGCCAGAAGCTGCAGGATGGGCAGGGAAGGTGGGTGTGAGAAGCATCGTTCATTACTAATCAGGTTAACAACTCCCCTCAGATTTACCTCTCCCCATAGCCCACGGGAATGGCTGGAGAGACTGAACCCAGGGATGCGAGGGAGGGCGAGAGGGGAATGGTGCTTGTAAGATGTCTTCTTCCTCTAGTGCTAGTAGCCATGGGCAGTGGATTTGGGTCCTGTAGAATTGGGCTCCTGTTGGAGATTCTAGTTCTTCCTGATCTGCCAGAGGCAAATTACTTTCCCCTACTTTCCTTGCCAGTTAAGTAAATAGCCATGCTAATAATGTCCACACAGAATTAAAAAGTTCAAATAAGAGACCATAGTGTTCACACCCAGGCAAGGAGCATCTACCATGTGTCAGGTCCCTATTGGGTGATTCACAGGCATTACCTTATCCAATCACCTCAGCAATCCCCAAAGATAGGTGTCACAATTCCCATTTCTCAAGGAGGGAATCGGGGCTCTGAGAGGTGAAGGTGCAGGCTCATCTCAGTGCCCCTGTCAAGCTTTGCAAACTGTGAAGCCCTGGACAGTTGTTATTTGTTTTTGTTTTTGTACCAGGGATCAAACTCGGGACCTTGTGGAACCACTGAGCTAAATCCCTGACCCGAGTCGTCGTTTGTCATTTTGACTCCCAGGACGTCCCCACTCATTCCGTGGTGATTTCTTCAAGCGAGTTCTAGAAGACTGCAGAATTTTTTTAACAAGTTGATTTAACATTTTTTTTTTTTTTTTTTTTTTTTTTTTTTTTTTTTTTGTACCAGGGGTCGAACTCGGGTCCCTGCACTTGCAAGGCCGGCGGTGGAACCACTGAGCTAAATCCCCAGTTTTGTGATCTAAATGTTTGTATCTCCCTAAAAGTCATATGTTAAAGGTGAAGGCATATTAGAAGGTGGGGATTTGGAGAAATGATTAGGTCATAGAAGAGAAGCCCTCATGCTTGGGACTCTTATCTTTATACAGTACAGCACAGAGCAAGGTCCTTTTTCCATTCTGTGAGGGCATAGCCAGAAGGGCTATCCATAAACCAGGCGTAGGGTTCACACGGGTCATCAAATCTGCTAGGGCCTTAATCTGTGCGAAGTAAGTTTCTGTTGTGTGCCACCCAGTTTAGGGCATGTTGTTAAACATGAAAAGACTTGTCTGCTGCAGGATGTTTCTAGGTGCTGAGATTTGTCAGTGAACACTGAGGAAAAAGTATTCTCAAAGAGGATATATTTTTGCATGGGAAAACTGACAGAAAGTAAAGAAAACCCTGTGATGATTGGTGCAGGGAATATAACTAAAACAGGGGAAAGAGGATGTGAGATCTGATGTCCACATCTAAGAGGAGGCTCAGTAAAACAGAAGAGAAATGTGTGCTCAGTACTCAGACATGACATCTACAACAATGTAATCTCTGTCAAGAATGTAAGATCCTGGGACCTTGTTCATCCTGTAACTCGAGCTCCTGGCAGAAGGTCTGTTCCAAGTTGATGAAAGAAGGAACCCATAGCCTCTGTCTCAGATCTGCTGGAGAAATGTCCCTTTCGGGATAGGCAAGAGGTTTTGGACTGACATGGGGAACTGTCTATCTGCCAGACGCTGTGCAGGCTTCCATGGCAGCAGTTCAATCCTCCCCCTAGATGATCTTTATTAGAGACAACAGCAGCACTTAAAAATTAGCAGTCTAGAAGACAAAGGAGCAAAGAGAAGACAGGAAGAGCAAGGGGTTAAGTGTGAAGAGGAAGCGATTCAGGGTCAGTAAAGAACTCAGCAAGTACGTTGCCCAACATTTTTTCTTGGTGCAAAAAATAACTAGCTTTGCTTTTTTGCACTGAGGCTCGCTGAGTCAGAGGTTCAAAGAGAACAGCATGAGGACAAGAGTGGCAAATGTCATCTGCAGCAGATGGTGCAGTGGTTTTGAAGATGCTTTTGTCCACCTCCCCTGGCCTGGGAATCAAGGTCAGGGGCAGGCAACCAAGCTCAGTTCCCTGGAGTCCTAATCCCAGCCTCTGGACCAGGCCAAGCCTTCCTGGGAACATCTCCCTCTATTCCACCCTTGGATTCCACGCCAGGCTCATTCAAGTCTCAGAAGCCAAGGGTGTGAAAAGAAGAATCTTAGCATCTGTTATCCACCATTACTTCTATACTTTTGGCTGTACTTTCTCCTCAACCCTGAAAATGCTGGGTCGGTGTCTCTTTTAGCAAAAAAGACTGATTTGCCAGGCCTTTGTTCAACCTCACAAAAGAAAGGGAGGATGATTATTAAAAGAACAGATTTTGCATTCCATATTTACCCCAGATGACATTGCCTTGGTCCCTAAAATAACTCCAGATCGCCTGGGTGGAACTTGCTTGTTCTTTTTTCATCTTGCTATTTTGCAACTGTTTGTGGAGACCATCGCCATAGTGATATTATCAGAGCAGGTCAGAAAGAGACTCCAAACCCTTGGCTATTACTGGCTTTTCCTTTGTACCTTGGAACATGACTTTTTCACCCCAAACCATTGCTTTCAATTCCTATAAGCACTTAAGTATTTAGCTCCAAAGCAGCCAGCATCCTTTTTCAATGGATTCCCAGCAGTTAAACCACAGAGGTGGTCCATACTGGGAAGATGGTTGGATATGCTTGGGTTGGCTTTCCAAATCGGATTTACCAGAAATCCCCTTTCCTCAGATAAAACTTGGGTGAAAGTTGCAGGGTGTCGAAAGAGGGACTAAATAAACTAAGGATCTAAAGGACCTTCAGTGTCTAGTCCAATAAACATGGCAATAAAATTCAACAAATAAACACAGCTGGCGTGGGGTAAGGCTTATCTTCATGATTATTTTTTTCATAATCATCTTCTTGTCCAAAAGCCTTTTTTTTTATACCATTCTCATATACTGCTTATAGGGTTGT